TTGAGGGGGATATGAACACATAGAACAGTCATTTGTATGGGATAAAATTTCACCTGTTTTATAAAAATAGTTTTGTAAAAAAACAAGTTTCAAAACTACATAAATAGTTTAATTTTTGTGTTAATTTTGAATTATTGCTTTTAAATTAATTAATTAATTGGTAGTTATTATTTTACATTGAATGTTTAAAACTGATATCGTTTGTAATAAAACTCGAATGTGCTTGGAACGAAAATAATTTTAATAAGTTGTGAGTACTGTACTACGTAAAGATTTTTGTCGATATGGTCTATATGTGTGTGTAATGGAAATTATATATAATAGAAATTCTACAAGATTTTGTATACGAGATCTGCATTTTGCAAAATTTTATATTGATCAGTATTTTTCAGAATAATATCCATAGAAATGCATATTAATTAAGAATCTTTTTCCTAACTGAAATTTTATTTTTAGTTATGTACAAATATAAAAATTTTGTTTTTTCATTTGTGTACAGCTCCTCATTAGGATCTCCGATTTTAATATCGAATATCTTTATCAGTTTTGTTGTATGAGATTCAAGCATTTTTTTTGTTTTATTCTGAAATTTTTCAAACAAGTATAGGAACTGGAGGGAGATATGAAAAGTAAAATTTCATAATTTTTACCAAATTGATGTCTTTCAACTTTAAATTGCAAAATATGAACACTTGCATCATTTTAAACAGTTTTGTAGTTGGAAGTATATGTGTACAACCCACACAAAAATAAAAGCCAGGTAAGGACTTTTCAGGGCACAGAGCATTAAACCGTTATGATACAGCTATTAATTATTATAAGAAATAATGGTTAGAAAATTGTATACTTAAATTATGCTTTCCAAAAACAGAGGTGCTAGATCATTAAGGCAGGGAAGAACGCTCGTGTTGTTTTCATTTGATGGTATATTAATGCTTATAATAGAAATTGTTTTGATTTATAAATAAAGAAAGATTTACTTATTCATGAAATTTGTTACATTGAAAAAATTTTTTAATAAATTTTACTTTTATGGTAGAAATCTGAATAATTTTTCTTTTACTACTACTGAGTTCAATAAATCAGTTTAATTTTAAAGTTAGAACAAGTATATTTTCCTTTATAGATTATATGAAACAATTCTTTTATAGAATGGTTTTTTTTTAAAAATTTCTTAATTACATTTCTTCCTCAGATAAGAGAATAAATTTTCGTGTGTGTTTAAAAGATCTTTGTGAAACGGAGAAAGCGAAATGTTTGCCATGCAGCCATTTTTATCCTAAGGAACGTATTCTTCAGTGGTTTAGAATGGTAAGTAAATGCCATCCTCGTTTAAAGATAAATGTATGTGGATATTGTTCATACATCTGCTTGCATATGCAATCTCATGTATTCAATGTATTTTGTCTCTGTTCTCCCATAATTTTTTTAACCATGCTTAAGTATATTTTATTTATTATTTTGTATAATTTAAATCTCAATTACAGAATGGTACTTGTCCCTTGTGCAGAAAATCTGCGGCAGCCTTCTGAAGCGGGAACTGAAACTGTTATGATGTTTCGAACAAGACTTGTATATATAAGAATTACTTCAGTTATTGGCCTTAACTTTTCCATGTAAATAAATTTTTTATATTTATCGAATACTTTGAAATTCTTTTATAACTGCATTCATTTAAACTTCGTTTCCCTTTCAGAAAGAAAAGAAAAAAGTCCATATTAGACCTAAAACTGCAGTATCCAATAATGAAACAATAATGTGAAAAGTCTAAAATAAAGTTAAAAAGAAGTGGTGGTACTTAAAGAAATCTGCTCAAAAGTGTTGCTGCAATTTCAAAGAGAACAACATCGTTAATAAACTGTTCTGGTGTAAAAATTTAAATGTATTGGGTTTTAATGAAAGTTTTCTGCCACCACAAATATCGACTGCACAGACAGTTCACGTTGGCGTACAGACACTTATGCCTGTAGTACAATTGCCAATAATGGGAAATATTTAGTAATTTTTGTTATTTCTACAATTTTGCATAAAATTGCATTTCTTATCAAATTTATTGATTCATTTTGTATATTATTGCTTAAGCCACAGATAATTTAACAGACTCGCCTCTAACTCTCCTGTAAGTGTTGTATCAAATTAAAAAAACACTCCATGAATTCAGATCTGGGTATGCAAGGCCATTTTTCGTTCTATATAAAACTACCGGGCTTCCGTAGGAGTTGCTAATCGGAACAATTATTTTATTTGCCAGCATCTGTTTAATATGCTGTTCCAGGATTTCTTCCTTCACGTGGTCTTATCGCTAAGATCACACCTTAGACCGGACTGGGGGAGTGTTTCCTACATCTGTCTCGTGCTGCACGACCTGACAGAAACCAGGTTTCTCATCGAATAATTTACAAAATTTTCTTACCAAATTTTTCATTTTCTTTTTCTCCTCTTCCTGAAGATGGTTGAGGTCAACATCTGGCATGGCCCGCTCTTCTTCTTCAACAGTATCCATCTGGACCTGTAAAATAGAGTTCTTAAAATTAAATTTTGCACTTGCTGTGCATTAAAAGTCAACCTCCAAAATAACTGAAGTTAATAGGTCTTTCACTACCAGAAAATTAACTTTTCATATCTCATTCTTTGTTTGCATGTGCAGCCTTACTTTTCCAATGCAGACAACACTGTTTTCCTTAGGCAGCAATTTCCCTTTGTCTTGTAGTTTTAAACTATCGTAATGGCGAAAATTCCTTTTAAAGAAGTCTTGCTCCAAAAAGCTGCATTGCGCTGCAGTGTCCAGTAAGGCAGTAGTAGGGACGTTGTTCAATAAAATATGAATTTCCGGCAAGGAACAATTTTTGTATAACTACCATATTTAATTTAATTTCCAATGGTTTTTTTTTTTTTTTTTTTTTTTCCCCTGTTGTTCCAGGGGTTGACCTGGCCCTCTTCTCGGCTGCCCTGATCAGTTTAAATCCCTTGCTTCTGCAGCTTCTTACTGTGATCTCCAAATACTTTCGACTAACCCGTCTTCTTGTTATCTTCTTTTTCAGCTTTCCCCGCCTGCCAGTAAGAATTCTGCTTACTTTGAGGTTTCTGTTAAGGCGAAAACCTCGAATACTGGCGGAAGTTTTCTGAACATGTGTTTTCAGCAGCTCATTTACTTTGGAACTTCACAGCCAGCTGAAATAGGTTTTCCAAGGTCTGGCCATTTTTCTACCTCCGGGAAATCTTGAATCGACGGCAGCAGGCTAGGCAAAATCACTTTGATTAATTCCTTATCTGGCTTTTTTCCATACAATAAATTAAATATTTTAATTTTTCAAAGAATAAAGTCCATCAAAGCTTCGACGCTTGTCTGATATTTACTAACTAGCTCTGCCTCCAACTTTGCTCGGTTCCCTTGAACGAGCAATACCCTTGAACCTGATACCCTTGAACCGATACCCTTGAACCAACTCAGGGCCTGGCATTTTAGGTTAGCTGTAGCAAATGTAACTTTCTGCAGCTGGTTTTTGGGATGTAAAGTAAAATGCTGATTCAGCTGCTCTAAGAAAGTCATCATGGAACATTGGCCATCGAATGTTATTGCTAGCTTCATAGCTGCTCACATGGTTTCTACGATGAAACATAATCCCTCCATAAGGTTTGCTGGTGACTGCAACATTTGGAAGGTCTTCATTTTCCAACGGCATGGTTCATCAAAAATGCTTAGGGCATCACTGTAGGTTTCCTTGCTTTTATCTATTAACTAAGTGTTGAAAAACCTAGTGAACTACTAAGTGAATAATTGCTCAAGTCTAAAAATAGAAACTTAAACTCAAGAAGGGTTAATTATCCTTTATTGCTCAAAATAAAATTGGTCCTTTTCTCAGGACGTACAACAAAGCCTTAGGCTTAACTCAAAAATGTAAGAAATAAGAACTTAGCTAATGTCTAACTAAAGAGATTTAGCCAAAGCTAACACAGTTTCTAAGTTGGCTTCTAATATTAAATTAGCTAGCGAAGCTATCAAGGGCACGTAATACGGGAGCATAGTAACAGCTTAGAGAGACGTAAGCAAACACACGCTATTCAGGAATTCTAATTCTCTCTCTCGAAGTCAGTGGAACATCGACTTAAATAGTACTCCTTGTAATTTGTATTTAACATGATTCTAAAAACTCAAGCTGAAGCTGCAAGAGACAGGAGATTAGCTTTAACTTAAAAATAACTGTTATAAAATTAGGATATACCTTGCAAGTGCTTAAATTTTGAAGACGTAAAAGCAGCATTTCTATCACTTAAAATTTTCTTTGGTATTTGAATTTGAAAAATTTGTCTTAAACAATTTGTATAAGAATCAGTAGTTACACTTTTGGAAACAAAAGTCCAAGTATACTGAATAGCATGGTCGATAATAATGTTAAGTTTTTAGTAGAGTTATAATAATTTAATCCACCAACAGTATCAATAGACAATATTTCAAAAGGTTCCTCAAGGGATGGTAAAAATTGTATTAACCCAATTCTTTTTTGTTACTTTTCTTATTAAACTGACATACTTCACAATGTTTACAGTAATTTCTAACATCTTGAACAGTTCCTGGTCAATAATTGAAGAGATAATAAATTTGACATTGAGGACACAATATCACCAAATTGTAAGTGAAACCTTTCGAGTAATTTAGTTCTGAGAGATATGGGTATTACAATTTTATATAATCCTTGTTTTTTAGTAATTAATACATCATTAATTTTCTTATACTTAGGATTAGAGACATTATCTAAATTTTGATGTTCTTTAATTTCTTCTAATGATAATAAATTAACCTGCAAACTTAAATGTTGACAAATAAGGTTTCTAGTTAACGTATCAGCTTCAACATTAGTAAAACCTTTTTTGTACTTAATATCAAAGTCATACATAGATCATTTCGAAGACCATCTGAATAACCTACCTGTAGGATGTTTAATATTATTAAGCCAAACTAAAGCAGCATGATCAGGATGTACAGTGAAATGATTATCATGTAAATAATAATAAAAATTATCTATGGCATCAATAATTGCTAAAAATTCTGATTCAGTAATTGCATAATTTTGTTCATAAGACCTTAATTTTCTAGAATGGGAAGCAATTGGATGTAGGTTAACATCTGGATCTTGTTCTAAAACTGCACCAGCAGCTTCTTTAGATGCATCTAAAAATACATGACAGGGATATTTTGGATTAAACAAAGCTAGACTGGGTCTTGAAATGAACACATCTTTTAATTTTTGAAAAGCTATTTGACAGTCGTTAGTCCACTTATAAGGAGTATCTTTTTTAAGTAAATTTGTTAAAGGAGCTCTAATTATTGCATAATTTTGAATAAATTTATGATATACTTTTCCCAAAAATCTTTGTAATTCTTTAACATATTTAGGGGGGTTGTAATTTTTTAATAACCTCAATATTTGCATTACTGAGCTAATATTTTCCTGTTTGAACGTCATATCCTAGAAAATTTATTTTTTCTTTAGCAAAATTACACTTAGTTGTTTTAATTTTATATTCTGTTTTTCATATATATCAAACATTATTTTAAGATGTTCATCAAAATGTGCGGAAAACACTATAATGTCATCAAAATAATTTAAAGGAAATTGAATCTGACATTTGTTTAAAATTTGTCCAAGAGCTGTTTGAAAAACAGCTGAGGAAATTTTCCAACCAAAAGATAATCTAGTAAATTCATAAATAACAAAATTTGTAGTAAATGCCAATTTTTCAGTAACTTTATCATTTAATTTTATATGCTAATAACCTGATGTTAAGTCCAATGTGGAAAAAATGTTTGCATTTGTTAACTTATCTAACACAACATCAATTCTAGGAATAGGTTTACAGTCTGTTTTGGTAATTTGATCAAGTTTCAAATAACCAATACATAACCTGGATTATACTTGTCATCTCTCATCATCAGTTAACAAAGCTAAAGTTACAGGTGCAGCATAAGGACTAAAAGATGGTTTTCATGATACTAGCAATGTAATAATTCATCTATTTATCTATTAATTTCACTATCTTTAGGGGCTCTATAGGATCGAGAGGCTATGGGTAATTCTGAAGTTAAGAATACTCATGGAGGTTCTATATTCATACAGCCACATCATATTTGTTTTTAGCAAATATATGATTATAGTTACTTAATAATTTTTGCTATTGATCAAATTCACTATTTTCAGCATAATTATAAAAATTTTTAGTACTTAACACTATTCTTACATACAAATTTAGTCTGAGAATGTTTATTTAATTGAATAACTTTACTTATCATGCATTTAAATTGATACACTTCATAATTATTTAAATTTAATTGCTATTTAAATAAGGAAACACAAGATAATGATAATAATAAATAAGATAAATTAGAATTCACAACATAAAATACTATAGTATTACTAATTTTACCTATTTTGCATAGTAATTTAATTACTTTAGTTACAACAAGACCTGTGGATAATAAACATAATTTAGTATTAGGATTATTTTGAGTAAGTTCAATTTTTGCATCAATAGAATTTTAAATATTTTCAGATAGCACATTTACCTGAGACCCTGTGCCTAGAATTGCGAGGACTTCTTTTTAACTAATTTATACCTTAACTTTAAAATAATTTCACTTCTTTTTTTTGGTTTGATTTGTTGACAATTTTGATTGTTTAGACTTAAAGAAGGAAATGATCTATGCAGATAAGACAGTTGACGTGGCTGGGAATTTCTCGATGTTTGTGGAACATTATACCTAGGATTGAAAAATGGTCTTAAAAACCTACATCTAAACTTGTAAAAACTTGGATGTATACTTGGTCTTGGAATTGCAAATTTTTGTTCTCCCAATGAAGCTGAGGTAGACAAACTTGAACTAAGAAACAATTTCCTAGCAGTGTTGATCTAATCTTGGATTGTGCTTACATTTTCTGCTGTTCAGGCAGACCCTGATTTAACATATTGATGATAATTTTGTTATCTAATTTTAGACTTTATGCCAATTTTAACTTTTGTCTATAATATTTGTCAATCTCAGTGAATTTGGAGTAAGTGCAGTTAATAAAGTCACTAAAAGTGATGGTTTCTGCACTAGCAAAATACATAAGAAATTTATTCCTTACTTCTTTCCATTCTAACTCAACATATTCTCTTAAATAAAATGCTAAGGGCTCGTCTTTTAAACGTTCAAAAAAACAGTAAGGCTTTATCTTTCGCGGCGACATTTTTAGAGTCACATTTCTTTTCAAACAATAAAAAGTATTTATTTATTGGAATGTCATGATTTGTTCCATCGAATATGGCTCACGGAAATTTATCCACACTGATTGTGTCAGTTTCAGTTTCTTCTTCATTTTCTTTTGAATGTGATCTTGTTTTCATTATTAAATTTTACTTTTTTCTGAAAACTGAACATTGAAAAATTTGCAAAATAATTACCATTGAATTATAATTTTTCTGAAGAATTTACAGTACTAAACACAAAATTAAAGCACCAAACTTGAATATTCGCTGACACTTTTTTCACTATAAACACTGTTAGAATCTTTCAGAAGATGTGCACACTTTTCAGTATGCGCAGACACACAAAATCGATGTGAAAAGTAAACTCTGCAGCAAGGAGGCACAGTCTTCTGGAAGCAGAAGGGATGACAGAAAAGAGAGAGTTGCGACGCATTTAAGCTTTTATACAGCATTCCATTTCAGATCACATGGCAGTTTAATGTACAGGTGTTGGGTTCAAACTTCATCGATGAGTGCGCAACGCAGATTAGATGACGGATGTTTTTTTGATTAGTTACAAAAATTATTGCTCTGTTATTTTTGCCTTGCCACAGAGATTACTTTTCTAATTTTCATCCTTTAAAATGATGTAATCTGTACAAAACTGGGAGGTGCATACTGCAATCACAGTGATAATATGCATTATCCAGAAATAAAATTATTTGTGGAATTTAGGCCATGTCTGCAAGTTTTTTTTATGCATCCATTGTTCTAACTATGCAATCATGTCTTCAGGTTATGATGCAGAGAACCACCGCCAGTCCATTGCAACTTACTTCTACCAAGTCATCTTATTACAATAAAAATGCAGTCTTATCACTATAATGGAGCAGTTTTACTACATCTATATGAGGTAATTATAAGTAATGAATTAATTGCCTCTTGCACTAAAGTTGCAAAGTAATAAAATCGTAATTTGTTTTCTAGTATATTGTTTATTATATTATCTTCTTTGAAAACAATAGTTAGAATTTTATGAACTGAATTAACTCATTAGCATATTTAAAATAGAATTATTAACCTTTTACATGCCAGTGTTCCTTTTTTTTTTTGGAACATCATGTTTAATATTTTTTAAAAAATAAAATATATCTGTCAGTTTGAAAAAATTGCCGTTTACTATAGAAGGTATGATTTATTTTTTAAACATGAATATTTCAGCATAAAAAAATTTCTAAAAATTAGCTTTTTTTACGATTTTTACAGTACTTAACAAAAATTTTTTATAAAATTCCTAAAAATTCAAATCCACCCAAACATTTCCCCATCATACTTGAAAAGGACAAGTTTAATAAGTTAATAAAAGAAATTCAAATAATAATGAGAAATATTTCCTCAAGACTGTGTAAAATTGGCACGTAATGATATGCAAAATCAGTGATATCACACGTATATTTTTCTTTATTAGATTTTTAAATACATTCAGTGCTCGTATCTCGTAAACATGCCCTTTTTTAGAGGCATTAATGGTGTGTCATTTATTTCTGTAGAAAGGATGGGGCAGAGGACTGGAAGAGGGTATGACCTCTCTCACCAAGGAGGATGTGGTAATTGGTTTCAGCTGTAGTTCCCTGTTTTGAGCTCCGATATCTGCTTGTTTCTTTTGTTAGAAATGACCACATCTGCTTCATAAGGATTTATTAGGTTCTCCGAAAAGTTGAAAAATGCAAATTTGCAGCTTAGATCAAAAGTTGTCTTTGAAATCTAGAGAAACAAAGTATTTTTCCATAATTTTTTTTCATCGCACAGTCTGCTGACAGATTTGTCTAACAAAGGCTTTAAGGTAATTGGCACAGTACAAGATTCGAGAATGGAACAAAGTCCTCTTAAAACAGCAAAAGAAATGTCAAAATTTCAAATTGGGTAATTTGTATATGTGCCGTTGAAACTACAGTTCTGTTGTAACTATTTCATCAAATGTTATCACTCACAAACCATTAGAAAGAGCAAAAAGATGTGTCCAAGCTTGTTTATGTTCTCCAACCTCACATTATAAAATTATATAATGAAGGAATGGGTGGAGTAGACCTTGTTGGACCGACTTCTTAGAAGTTATCGACCAGTTTCGTAGCAAAAAATGGTATTAGAACTTATTTATCAAAATGCTGAATATGATTGTGGCTGCTGAGTGAATTCTTGCACACTCATTTACACAAAAACCACATTAGAAATCACTCACATGAATTTTAGAAGAGAAATCACTTTGAATTTACTTCGAACGAAACCTAAAATTCACAATATACCTGGACCCCGAGCCCATCAGCCAACGTCTGCAAGAAAATCAGATGCACGTTATATACACCTATCCCTCGATTTACATGGAAGATGGTTTCCGCACAAAACCGTGTAAATCGAAATCTTGGATTTTGCTATGTAAAATGAAAAACCCACTAAATGTGCATAATTTAGTTAGATAAAACAAAATTAAGACATCTTAAAATAAATAAAGTTATTCTTTGTTCATAAAATAACAAATATATGTAGATAATAGAAGTGTATATTTAATTTATTTTACATTAGGAAAATATAAGATCATTCAAAAAATTATTATAAGTTTAATCACTTTAATGAATTAATCACTTTTCTTCTTGATTGGTATGATGTCACTTTCATCACATGATCGTTCTTGATAAGATTCTGCTTCAATGGTTTGACGGATTAGGGAAGATTTCAGATCAACAAGACTTTGTAGTGAAATCCGTAATTAACAATTGCCTATGGTTTTTCCTTAAATCTTTGTAAACCTCCTCATATTGATTTAAGCACTTACTAAGCTCCCGTTGGAATCGGAGAGCTCATTCAACATTTGTATCATATTGTAAAAAATGATTACCTAATTTTCTTCCCAATTCAAGTCCTACGCTGATGGCTCTTGCTGTGAATGCAACTGGTTAAGATTGCTCTTCATCATGTTTGTTTCATGAATTATGTTAACTAACTCATCCTCATTTAGTTCTTCACCAGCCATTATTTCTTTAATATCTGCCTGAGCTAAATCCTCAAAACCTTCTCCTCCTATAGTTTGGACCAATTTAGGTCTGAGAATATTCGTGATCTAATGGTAATCTATCATTCTCGTCTTTAGCACCATCCGACCACATTGCTTTCCAGCTTGCGTTTAAGCGTTGATTGTTTAATCTAAGTATATGACAGTCCAACATGCTTAACACAATCTAAGATTGTAAATTTCTTTCAGTCATCCATAAGAGTAAGAGATTCATCATTCTCCATTTGTTCTAAAATATACCTGAAAATTTGTTTGATATACAATGCCTTAAAAGTCAAAATTATTCCTTGATCTAATGGCTGTAATAAGGAAGTTGTATTCTTTGGTAAACCGACAACTTCTATATTTTCGTGTTGTAAATCTTGAGGATGATAGGTACATTATCAATTAATAGAAGAGCCTTAAAAGGCAATCCGTTTTTACTTAAATAAGTTTTAACATCTAGGACAAACATGTTAAGAAACCATTCATTGAAAGCTATGGCTGTGACACATGCTTTTTTTATTAGCCATCCAATAAACGGGAAGGTTATTTATGTTTATTCCTTTAAATGAGTGTAGTTTTTTTATTTGTTAATAAACAATGGTTTCATTATATAATCGCCTGAAGTGCTGCAACAGAAAACAATTGTAATACGACTTTTCGCTACCTTATGACCACTAGCTGATTTGCAAGCTTTAGCTAATAAATTCTTTCAGGCATTTTTTTCCAGAACAACCCAGACCCATGAGCATTGAAGATCTGATCAGAAGTGTAGGAGTTGACACCAATGATTTCACCAAATTTTGCTGGATATTGTTGTGCTGCATCCGAATCAGCAGATGTGCTTTCTAATTTCAATCTTAGATTATGTAAAGAATGTCTTTGTTTAAATCTCTCAAACCAACCATGACTTACAGAAAAAGATACTTTCCTTCTCCGCCCTCCTAGTGAAGTCGACGGTTACTGGTTCTTAAGTGTTTTATAAATCTTTATTTGTAATAGCATTAGTATCAGTTGGAATCCATTTTTGATTTTCGGTCTTTATCCATATCACTAATGCCTTTTCCATATTCTCTATTGTATCATCGCTTAGTATGAAATTTAGCTATCTTACTTCAACAAATTTTATACTCGAAAATGGAAATATAATGTTGAAAAAAAAATAATAATATGTCTGTAAAAGGTGTTATAACCATACTTTATTGTAAAAAAAATACGGGAATATCCCCTTCTACAACACGGAGAATCCCCAACCTTGTTGCCACCAGCGTTACCAAAAGAATGAGTTTAAAAAATAACTTCAAATATATGTATTTGCGTATATCCAGCCGAATATGCATTTTTACCAAGTTTTTTAAATCCGTTAATTTTTAAATCATGTAAATCGAGGCATAGGTGTAGTGTGCCAAAAAAAAAAAAAAAAAAAAAGCTACAAACATGTGTTTGAATGGGGGGGGGAAATGCTCCATGTACACTGCTTCCCGCAATATCATGGACACTGAGAAACTGGTAAAAAGGAGTACAAAAAATTAGTGTTTTAGATTGTATTATATTTTTTGTGCTACTGTTTGAAATCCCACTTGCCTCCTAGAGGACAAGAATTATTATAAAATAGTATAGAGAAAATAAAAATTTAATAGTACTAATAATAAATAAAAATAAAATATTTTATTTTCTGTTGGTAAGTTATTTAAAATTTTTTAATTGCATTTATTCAATTATGTGTATTGTTAGTCAAGCTTGTGTACGTTTGTTTTTATGTTTCTTTACACATTTTCACAGCATTTCTATAAATATTTGCTAATTAAAAATTATGTAATTTTTTTATGTAGTTTTCTTGAAAATTTTAATAATTTTCACACCAGATTGATAAGTAAACCATTATTACTACAGAAATTTTTAAGAGTCATCATACATCGCTTGTTTTTCATGAAGCAAAAAAAAAAAAAAAAAAAAAAAAAAAAAAAAAGAATATGTGTGATAGGGCCTAACACTGGGCCCATATCACACATGCATTTGTTTCACACAAACAACTGTTTCAGAAATTTTTCTGCCTGGTTTACTATTGAAAGAAATATGCACGATTTTTTTCCTTCCTTTCGAAAAAATTGCAAGTTGTCCGTTTCCAACCAATCAGCTATCAGCTTGTTTGCAATGGAGAACCAGTTTCCCCCAAAGTAATCTGTGGTGATTGATTGTTGTGACAAAGCAGAAAAATTGTTCCAAACAGTTGTTCTTCCGAAACAAACGGATATGTGATAGCAGCCTTACATGCCAATGTTCCAAAAATAAAATATCCAGGAAACCATAGACAGAATTTTCTGTTTTTTAGTTTTTATGGGTGTATTCTAATGTGAATTTGATGAATTAGTTGTGACTTTTATTTCTGGATCATAGTGCGACATGTAAAAGGTTAAAATGAAAGAGTTAAAAGCGAAAATATAACTAACAAATTAAGTAACTATCGTCATTGACTGGAAATCAGTTGATTTTTCAAAGGGAACAAACTAACTTCTGATCAATTAAACCTTAAAAATGCGAAAAAACATAATTTGCTTCGACTTTCTCCACGACATATCGTGGAACTCGGAACACTCTGCAGAATTCTTAATGAGAAACAGCTATCCGGACAAAAATGGAAAAATGCTGTCACAATAGATGAATCTGGGATATATTTAAATGACTGCAATAAAAAGAGGTCCCTTTATTATTATAGAACGAGAGAAATTTCCTAAAAACATGGTTCAAAGAATCTAAAGAAAGTTTTTCAAAGGGATTTATGATTAATGATGGTTTTTCATATAACGGCAAATTAAAAATAAAGAGATTGGGAAAAAGTATTAAGATCTGTTACACATATTATTAGGAATATATTTTATACCAAGTTTGCAAATATGAAATGCCTTCTGTTTACGGATAGTGTGTTCAATCAGTAGAACTGCATCAAGGGAAAGCAAACAGCCACACGTCAAAAATCTCACTGTTCATTTCCTGGGGGAAAAATGGAACAAGAAAGGGGTATCAAAACCATACCAAGCCCCCCTTGGACTTTGGAAAACTGTTTAATAGGAATGGGACAAAATACCTCTTCCGATACTAGAAAAGGCTCTATTGTATTGGAAATCATAGTGTAGAAAGATAGGGAAGAATAGGGGTTATCAAATAGACATTTAAAACACAAAAATTTTGGGTAAAATCTTTCTGTAAAGACAATGAAAATCGTTTAAGATATGGGCGAACAGCTTCTACATAACATGTTTTCAGCTGTGTAACACAGAGCACACAGTAAAATGTAATATATGAAAAGAAACAGGTATAGGTGCGGTTAGTAGTAACATGAATCTGACTCAGCCAATTTTCAGATTAATTTTATTTATTTTGATTACTCCGTAGCTGTCTTTTCATATTTCGAAAGATATATCGATATGCTTAGAGAAATATTTCAAACATCACAGCATTAAATAAATATATCATATTATCACTAAAAAAAAAGGAATTAAAAGAAAAAGAGTGATGTACTTTTATGTTTTAGCAACCTCGGTGAGAGACATGCATTGACACATTTCATCTTTGGCAAGAACACGATTACTGAAACATATAAGCAATTCATTCGATGTCCTATGGGTCCCACCTGCGACAAAGTTGCTGAACACTGGTAGTTTGGTCCGAGGTTCAAATTCCGCAAATGGGCTGGCTGCATGGGCGTTTTCGTGGTTTTCCCCTTCGAGCCAGTTTCCCTTAGGAAGCTCTTCACGAAGGCATCCCTACCCTTAGGCAGCCCTCGAGGCTTTGCCTTAATTAAATAAACCAAGCCAATGCATGGACATGAGTAGTTTGTTTCTTTAGTGATTTTTTTTTTTTTTTTTTTTTTTTTTTAATATCGTATTAAGTATTTAACTCTCGTTCCATCTTATGGGGATTAGCTAAATGGGGTGACAAAATGCACAGGGAATCTCACTATTACTTGAAGTCATACCTA